TGCTGTGTATTTTAGGAAGGCTGACCAGGTGTGTAATTCTGCATCCTGTCAACTTTGTTATTCCACAGGCATTTCTAGTTCTAGTTCCTTTTAACAGTTGCAGAACTTCAAAGGTCACAGAAAGTTTTAACTGTTGTGTTCACAGAAAAAAGTAGTGAAGAGTTTGGGATGTGTTAGAATGATTTGTAGAGTATAAATCCAGTTTTGTTTTCTTGCTCTGTTTCTTCTGAAAATAGTTATTTAACAATTAAACAGAACAAGCCCCAACCCATAGCCTGCCTTTTATGTAAAATGAAAGTTTTTTATTAGTTAAAATTAGCTCTGAACTAAGTTTTGTCATACAGTGATCAAAAGTATGTATGACAATAATATATTATCAGATTCCCTTAAACACTTAATTGGATTGACTTTTCCAATTCAGGTTCTTCTTTCTCACACTTTTACCTTCTCCTCTCCATGTTTAAAGCAAAGCAGCCCAGGAAATGTTTTATACTTTGTGAAGTGGATTGGGAATAAGGGATCCTGCTTCCTAGTTTGCAGTTGGTTTTTAGTGTTTAGCAATCCATTGGTTAATCTCCCTTTGCTGTGTACATGTGTCATGATTCAGCACCAGGCAGCAGCTAAGCCCTACACAGTTGCTGGCTCTTTCTCCCCAGGTGGGATGGGGAAGAGAATCAGAAGGGTAAAAGTGAGAGAACTTGTGTGTTGAGGTAGTTTAACTGGTAAAGCAAAAGGTGCAGAGGAAAGCAAAGGATTTATTAACTGCATGAAAGAAGGTTGTAGGTAGGTGGGTGTTGGCCTCTTCTCCCAAGTTACAACTGAACCAGAGGAAATGGCCTGAAATTGTGAGGTGGGAGATTTAGAATGGATATTAGGAAGAATTTATCTGCTGAAAGAGTAGTCAGGCACTGGAACAGCCTGCCCAGGAGGTGGTTGAGTCACCATCCTTGGAGGTATTCAAAAGCTGAGTAGATGTGGCGCTTCAGGACGTGCTTTAGTGGCCAAGCTTGTGGGGCTTTTTGTGTTGACAGTTGGACTCAGTGATGTTAGAGGTCCTTTCCAACCATGATGATTCTGTGATGCACTACTTCCCATGATCAGGCAGGTGTGTTCAGCCATCTTCAGGAGAGTAGGGCTCTGTCACAACAATTAGTTGGAAAGAGAAACACCATCACTGTGAACATTCCCCCTTTCCTCCTTTTCCCAGCTCTATATGCTGAATGGGATGTTGTATCCTCTGAAACATCCCTTTGGTCAGCTGGGGTCAGCTGTCCCAGCTGTTACCCCTCCCACCTTCTTGTGCACCCCCAACCTACTCTCTAGTGGGGTGAGGAGCAGGAAAGGCCTTGATGCTGTGTAAGCCCTGCCCAGCAAAAAGGAAAACATCCCTGTTTTATCAGCACTGTTTGCAGCACAAATCCAAAGCACAGCCCCATACAAGCTACTATGAAGAAAATTAACTCTGTCCCAGCCAAAACCAACACAACATGCTTGGTATAAAGAAAAAAACCAACAATTTATTAATTAATAAATACAATGAGATCTTTGGAAGAATTAAAAATAATAATAATAATAAAAAAATATTGAAATTGCTTCACTTGAGTTATAGCTTAATTTGCCACTTTTCCATATAAGAACAAAATAGCTGGTATTAGCAAACTGAAGATAATGAATTAACTCAAACCATGGTTAGTGAATGGAATATTCCAGATTGGTTTTGGCAGAAATTCCTGTTGTTTTCTTACCTGCATACTTGATTACTGCTCCTTTCTTTCTCTGCATATGTAATTGCTGTCTAATTAATTGCTCTGATGATTTCCTGCATAATTAATTATTCACTAATTAATAATTGATTCCCTGAAAACTTATTTAACTTATTGCTTCTTTGCTTTTTGCACCTAATTGACTATAATGCATTGCTCTATTGCTAAACTATCTAATTAGTAACAGGTTAATCAATTATCATTTGCTTACTCCTAATTTAGTCATTTAGGCCTGTAATCAGCATGATTTATCCTCTGCTTTATGACTTCCTTTTCTAGTCATTCTTCCTCAAATCATGTATTTACTCAGTTTTGTTTCCATCTCATCTCTGAGCAAAGTGGGGTCACAGTGTGTGTGTGGACAAAGGGAGAGCAACTGGTGTCATCTATGTGAACTTGTGCAATGCATTCAACACTGTCCTGCACTACATCCTGGTGTCCAAATCAGAAAGATTTGGATTTGTTGGGTGGGCCAATTGGTGGATAAGGAATTGGCTGGCTGGTCACACTCGTGAATAGCTCAATGTCCAAGTGGAGATGAGTGGTGTTCCTCAGGCGTTGGTATCTGAACCGGGTGCTGTTTAACATCTTTGTCAGTGACATGGACATTGGGATTGAGTGTGTATTCTCAGCAGGTTTTCTAGTGACAACAAGGTGTGTGGTGTGGTCAACACATTGGAGGGAAAGGAGGCCATCCAGAGAGACCTTGACAGGCTGGAGAGGTGGGCCCGTGCCAACCTCATGAAGTTCAACAAGGCCAGGTGCAAGCTCCTGCACCTGGGCAGGGCAATCCCAAGCACAATTACAGGCTGAGTGGAGAATGGATTGAGAACAGCCTTGAGGAAAAAAAAAACCTTGGGGGTGCTGGTTGAAGAGAAGCTCAAAATGAGGCAGCAATGTTCTCTGGCAGCCCAGAAATCCAACTGTGTCCTGGTCTGCATCAAAAGAAGCGTGGCCAGCAGGTCAAGGGAGGTGATTCTCCCCCTCCACTCTGCACTAGTGAGACCCCACCTGGAGTGCTGTTTCCAGTTCTGGGGCCCCCAGCAGAAGAAGGACATTGTTGGAGTGAGTCCAGAGGAAGTTTACAAAGATGATCAGAAGGCTGGAGCACATCTGCTGCAGAAGTGAAGGCTCCAGGGAGACCTTAAAGCAGCCTTCCAGTACCTGAAGGGGATCTGTAGGGACTAGAGAGGGACTTTTTACAAGGGCATGTAGCAATAGGACTGGGGGTAATGGTTTAAAACTGAAAAAGGGGAGATTTAGATTAGACATGAGGAAGAAATTCTTTACTGTGAATTGAGATGAGATACTGACACAGGTTGCCTAGGGAAGTTGTGGCTGCCCCCTCCCTGGAAGTGTTCAAAGGCAGGTTGGATGGGGCTCTGAGCAACCTGGTCTAGTGGAAGGTGGGAGAGAACACTGTTCAGCCACTAGGTAAAGGTTTCATTTGTTTTTGTTTCATTGTGTCGTTTTTGTTGTTGTTTTAAAGAACAGTATTAAGGAGAGCAGAACTGGTTCAAAGGAATGTATACAAAGGAACATTTCCTTTGTAAACATAGTGCAGTCAAAATGGAAATGTGCTTCTACTCAAGGCAGTAGAACACCTGAGAAGGAACCCTGCTGAGTGTATTATGCGCTATTGCACACAGTAGCTATGTAAAATGTATCTTTAAAACAATACAAACTGTATTTGTGTTGCTTTTCAGAGCTGTTTTAAAAGATAGGAATACCTACTCTGCCTTTTAGTTTTAAGATAGCTGTATTATTTATGAAGATGAGGATGTTTTTGTTGCAGTTTGAGGCACAAATTCATCAGAATACCTTAAAGGTGGATTTTTTCTTGGGTGAGGTGAATGATCTTTGCTTCGGATTGTTTTGAAAACAGGTCCCAAAATACAGCCTCCTTGTTCTTTTCCCCAAAACTTCTCAAAATACAACTTTATTTCTGTACTTACCTGGCTAGTCTGTGGTTTGGTTTGCACCTCAAATAGCATTGATTTTTTCCACTTGGATTTCAGTGCATATAATTGTCCTTAGTGAGGCAAAGGAGCAATAGAAACCAATTTCAGGGCCAAGAGTTTATGTATGCAGCTGAAGAACAAGTGTGCTGTTAAAAATGGTTCCTGGTGGTGGTTAGTTGTTTTTTTTTTCTTGGTGTTTTTTTTTTTTTTTTTTTCAAATACTGGGATAGAAGAGGAAAAACTTTCTAGAGCTCTGAAGTGAATAGCTAGAAGAAGGAGAAAGGAAGATGATGTGATTGCATAGCATGTCATATGATGCAACATTTTGTGGTCTACAGCACTATAGATGTTTTGACCTTACTTTCCAGGCTTTCATTAGTGGCAGAGCCACATCTAAGGATAATGACCCCTGAAACCAAGCACTTAACATTTTTAGCTCATAGTGTATGCTCATGGTCGTGTCCTAAGGCAAAAGTGACACATCAAAGCACACAGTTTTTGTTAAACAGATTTATTTTCTAACAAATGTTGCTATAGTGAAGGAAAAGCTTCCTTTTATCTTCTATGGTATTTAATTCTTCCTTCCTTCTTTTGGTTCCAGCACTTGCATGGAATTAGAATTAGATTTACTTTAGAATTAGATTTACTTTGAATTAGATTTACTTGGGTGATATAAGTAGAAAGGTTAAGTCTGTGAAATGTAGGAAAGAACAGTGAGATCTGTGAACATAAATTAGAATTTGGGTCCAGGTTCTCTGTATTTCAGACCTACTTGGTGAAGGATAAAGTGGTTTGCATTTTTGTTAATATGATGTATGTAAAACCTGGACAATTGCTGAATATCTTAGATAATTTTATCAGATGTTTGAAAAAAATATGAAATTTTAATGTTATTTTAGGCTGGAAGTAAAAAAAAACCAACAAGAAGGTCTTAATCTATCCTGCTTCCTATTGGGTCTTGTTATTTCTAGGATTTGAGTCAGAAGACATTTTTTTGCCATGTGGGGATCTGGGTAGAAGTTTAACCATTTCTTAAATTAATTGATTTGGATATTTCTTATGAATGTCTTCATTTAACTGTAACATTCTTGTTTTCAGCTCATTACTATCTGGTAAGTATATTAAGATAACTCACAGTTACTGTGTTAGCTGAACCAAAAATAACTAGGGGTAATATAAAGAAATGTAAATATTTATATAAAATATAAAGAAACTTAAAATTTTAAATACTAACTCCTCTTTTTAAACTTGTTTTTCAGGGATCAATTCCATCTTCATGTGTAAACTTTGTAACTTATTTTCACCAAATCAATCTGAACTATTGTCTCATGTCTCTGAGAAGCATAAGGAAGAAGGGACCAATGTGGATGACATCATTATTCCACTCCAACCTCTAACAGTACCCACAAACATAAAAAAAGAAGAAGGTACCTTCATAAATTTAGAGGAATGTAATTTTCAAACTAATTTTATTAATTTTTTTTTTCAGGAAAACCTGTGGTGTGATTGTTCTGTATTGTTTATAGAATGATTTATGTAGCTTGTTTTTATAAAGGTTACTGTAGAACTGCCAAACTTGAGTTTCCTTCAATGCAGAATAGAACAGAGGACAGATGTGGATAAATTCAACATGAGATAGGGGATGATGATGTTGGTACATGACTTTAAAATCAGATATGGCCAGGTCTGCTTCCTACAGCTTTAATTTGAGCTGTGTAATAGCAGTGGGAAGCTTCAGTGCTTGCAGTGGAAAAGCAAGCAGGGCAACATGGATAGGAGCATGTCTTGTGGTTTAGGAATGGTGCTGTGCTTTTTGAGTTGTTTGTTGTGATTCAGATAGTCTTTAATTGTTCTATTCTGAAAAGGAAGTGGCATGATTCATAATTTATGATTTTGGCACTGGTAAATAAAGCAATCTAGTAGTCAAAGGTTGAATTAGATACACAGAACAATCTACTCTGCAGTGGAAGAATTTACATTAATCCAATTTTTAACTGATTATAATTGTAATCCCTTGTAATACTAGCAATGGTTTGAAAACAATTCAGATTTTTTAAAAAAATCTTCTTTTAGACCCTTACTGAGCAATGGATTTATATTGTTGGCAAACCTCTTAACACAACTACCAGGATTTTCCAATTGTTATGATTTCTGGATTTTAAAAACGATGTGCTTCTGAATTAAAAAACCCAAACATACCAATATGATACTTAAAAGATTTTTCTTTATAAGTAACATATGCATGTGATATTCATTTATTTACCAGCAGTAATTCAGTAGTTATATTGACTTTGCCAACATAAGATATTTCTAATACTGGTTATAAAGTATTCAACTATTACTGCTATTTCCTGAGATGGTTGGTGAGGAAACATGCACCAGATTATTATTTCACATACACCTGAATAAACAGTGCATCAGAAAAAGAAAATATCAGATCTACATCAAGTTTCAAAATGCAATTCCAATTTTATTTAAATTGTTTGAAATAAATTTCTCAGACATGCAGAGTCCATCTTCCTGTCTGAAATCTTTTTTTTTCTATTATCCCTTCTCTAAGCACAGTGAAACACCTACTTTGTAACATTCTTCTTCCTTTTAGTAAAAGGGCTCTTCTGTAAAATTCCTTGTGCATCTGTGCCAGGGATTGTCTGTACTTTCTGTACTGTTAGTTGTTAAGCATGCAGTGTACATTTATGAGAATAATATATAATTACTACTACGTTCTGAGGCAGCAGAAATTAGGCGTGCAGCTTTTAAGAGAATAACTTTGCAAATCTAATTATGTAAAATATAACATTCATATGTAAATCTACATACTCAGAAGTTACCTTTTAAATTATTCTTGGTGAATCTGTTTAATTGTCTGGCATGATCAAGTGGTGCCACCTTTTTCAGGTCATGTACCCCAACTCTTTGCCATCTGCTGTCAGTAAGAATGTCAAGGTAAATTACTTTCACATAGATTTCACATAGATTTTTCATATTCTAGACATACTTTATTTCTTCCTTCCCATCACACAGATTGATCAGAGAGAAAGGTAGTCTGTTCTGAAGTACTATTCAGCTATTTCCTGTATTCTGACTTAAAAAAATAAGAATATTTCACAGTTGAATACAGGAATTTGCAGAGTTCTTTCAAGTTCTTTCCTCCTGTTATGGAATCTGCAGCAGATAAAACTATGTAATATATTTTTTTACTCAGTAGTTCTTTGTAGTAATTGAGTATTGTCACTAAAAGGAGAAGTGATTGATGAGTGACAGTCTTGGAAATTACAAGTTTCTTTTAGTACTTGTTGCGTGATAGATGAACACCTTTTTGTGCTTTGAAAGCATAGTTTTTCTTGCAAGTGCTGACAAACACTTCTCTAGAACTGGTAGCTACTACTAGTTACTAGTAGTTACTCCAGAATCTGTACAGATGAGTGAATGTCAAATTATATGTTTAGAATTGGTGTCCTAACCATTTCACTAGGATGTTAGATTTTTAGAGGTTTTTTTTCTTAAGTAAAACCAAGGGTTGTGAGAAGATGTTGCTGTTATACAAATTATAGGTCACATTTTGCCCAGCACTGGAGTGGGGCATCTTTATTTGGGAAAGGACAGGTATTTGCTGGTTAATTGTAGTCACTCATACTTCACTTTTGCATAGGTTTTCCTTTTATTGCTTCTCAAAATGATCTCCATCTCCTTCAAAGTGCTTGTAAAAACTCCCTGCTTTCTTTAGTCAGATTGGTAATGATTTGAGGGACAGCTTCATCTATCATAATATATTCTCTGATGGATCATTAACTCATTAAGGTCACTTACAGCTGTGGCATATGCATCAGCTTTATCTGTACTCAACCACAGGATGCAACTAGAGCATGAATTCAGGTTTGGGGGTATAAGAAGTGTTCTTAGGTGACATGATATATACATGTAACAGTAACTATGTAAGTCTGTGGATTTATTTGCATATATTTGTATGACACCATGTGCAGAAGATTCTGAATACAGTCATATACCGTTGTAATTGACTAAATAAAACAAACTTTCTATACTGACATCTGAGGAAGGATTGGTGTGGCATAATGTAAACATTTGCACAAATGTTTTGTGATTTCTGACAGACTTTTTGTTTAAATCATACTACAGCTGGCAGTGTGGTGACTGTGGGGAGCTGTTGACTTATACAGGTTTGGAGAAAAATGACCATTTAATAAAGATGTCTTATCTCCTACTCTTCCAGAGTTGAAGATATTTTCCTCATTACAGCATTGAAATGATTTATTGAAGATATTTCATACATGTGTAACTTGAATTATACATGTGATTTCTACCTCTATGAGAGGCAGAAAACCTGAGGGGAAAATTCTACTGGGTGAAGTCCACAGTTCTGATATTTGTTTACCTGTTTTAATTGCAGCTTAATTTCTCTATCTCAAAACACCAAATACCGATTGCTGCAAATAATCGATAAATATCAAAATAACATGAATGGTAACAAGGAGAAGTTTTGAGAGCACTGAAATCACCTCTCTCTGTTTGGCTGATAATTGACAAAAAATTCTCAGCTTGGAGAAGAGAAGGCTCTAGAGAGACCTTGTAGCAGCCTTCCAGTACCTGTAGGGGCTATAGGAAAGCTGGGGAGGGACTTTTTACAAGAGCTTGTGGTGATAGGACAAGGGGTAATGATTTTAAACTGAAAGAGGGGAGATTTTAGATTAGACATCAGAAGGAAATTCTTCACCATGAGTGTAGTAAGGTGCTGGAATAGGTTGCCCAGGAAGGTTGTGGAATCCCCCTCCTGGAGGTGATTCAAGGCCAGGTTGGATGTGGCTTGTGCAGCCTGGTCTAGTGGGTGGTGTTACTGCTCATAGCAGGGAAGGGGAAACCTGAATCATTTTCAAGGAAATGAATCAAAAGACCTTACTAAATTGGTTGACTTATAACATATGGAAAAAATAAATCACCTCAAGGAATCTTGAGGGAAAGTGATGTAAGAGGACAGGAGGTGGTGGCACCATCTTCTTCAAAACCTGTTCAACATTTCCCTGAAGTATAGCAGACAAACAGGAATCCACATGCCATAGTTTGGAGTTAATGAATATCAAGTGAAAAAGCAAGTATTCTTTCTTGTTACAGGAGTGACTGAGTACTTGTCTGCTTAAATATAAGAACACTAAAAGCCTCATTATGAGTAGGAAAAGAGCAACCTTTTCACAGAAGTTCTTGCAAGCCCCTGCCAGCATTGTTCTGAATTTCTGTGCTACTGCACTCTAGTGAAAGTAGTTTTAGAATCATAGAATCATTGAATTGTTAAAGTTGGAAGGGACCTTAAAGAACTTTCTTTTTTCCCCCCGAAATATTTCCTCCTTTCATGACTTTTTAAGACTTTCACATTGTCTCAATGTATCAGGCAGAAGGTGGGCTAATGGCTTGATGAGTACTTGATAAAAAGATGTAGACTGCTCTTAACCTTTATTCTTGATACACAGTGGTTTGGGTGAAAGTTTCTGGAATAGCAGTGGAGAAGTGTAACTTTCTCATAAAATTCATAACTTATGTGTAATACTGCCAGTTTCTTTTAGCTTGAATAATCTCAAGATACTCTTAAATTTTTGGAACTGCAACAGTTGCTTTATTACTGGGCATTTCTCTCATAACCCAGAAGACATATTTCATGCTCCTCCCATCTGTGCTGTGCAAAAAAACCCAACAAACCCAAACCAACAGTAAAAGGATGACATTCTGAGGAGAATAATTATATTTTTATTTCTGCACAAGTCCCAAGATTTGTAAATGTTTTAGTATAAGAAAAAATGAAAAATGTAAAGAACCTCTTTGCTGTGACTACCATAAGCTGAAACATGCATGAGAATTAATTTTGCTTGTTTTTTTTCTGAGCACTGAAAAACAGTTCTTAGCAAAATTTTAGTATGTGCCCATCTTTTGTCTTTCTCTGGTACAAAGATAGTGGCTAATGGTGCTTCACACCTGTGTAATCTCACTTAGCACATTTTAATGCACATAATACTCTGGGTTTTTTTGCAATTATGAGACCATATCAAGCTCTTTTACCTTTTAATTCTCAAAGCTGTAATTCACTGCACATAACTGAAGGTTTTTAAGCTGGGAGCTTGATCACCCTGCTATGCAGGAGACAATTTATGTCTTATGTGATCTGAACTGCACTCTGGAGTGTACCTTCTCTTTTCCTTCAATATAGAAGAGAAATATTAACTAATTTGAGAGCTCAAGGGTCTAGCATTAGATAAAACAAATCCTAGAATCCTGGCTGTCTCCTGTTTCTCCATAAACCATCAGACAAGCTTTTTTAGGTGCATCCTAATTTTTCCTTCTCAGAACTGTGTACCTTTATGCAGATAAGTGGAGTAGATCTGATACTTCACCAGATGTCTGCTTGGACTTTAAAATAGCATTTAAATGCTACAATGTTTTGCTGTTTGTGAACTGACAGTTTCTTAGAGCAAGTTCAAATAATAATGAGGTGATTCCTCAGGAAGCACAGTATAAAGAAGTAAAAAACCAAGCAAACAACCCTCGAGACTAAAAAGAGGGACTGACAGATACTAATTCTTTTCATTGTATTAGTCTGTTAGAAATAACTTACAGCTAGGATGAAATCTACTAAAATAACTTATCACTATCCAGAAAATTCCTCCCTTCTCTCTAAATATCTGCTTTTGTTGACTTAAAGTTTTCTTGAGATCTGATTGCTTTGGTCAGTGAGATCAAGTTACATCTGTGGGTGTGTGATATGAAGTTGGCTTTTGAAGTAACTACAGCAGTGATGAGAGAAATCTTAAGCAGGAAATGTGGGTGTGAAGTTTGGTATGTTGTCATGCATTTCTGTGTTTACTCCATTAATTTTGTCAATGTTTCTTTTACATAAATATGGAAATGTAAAATTATGGATAATTTCTGATTTTAATTATTTGAAATACTCATTAAGGAAACTTTTTTGCATGACTTCTGAAATTTATTTGTTGTCAACAATTTTTTTGTAACAGCTTTTGGCTAGAAAGTATTAGCAATAAAGAGCCACAGGAAGGGATAGAATCACAGAAGGGTGAAGGTTGGAAGGGACCTTAAATATCATCAGGTTCCAACCTCCCTGCCATGATCAGGGACACCTCACACTAGACCAGGCTGCACAAGCCTCATCCAGCCTGGCCTTGAACACCTCCAGGGATGGGGCTTCCGCAGCCTCCCTGGGCAACCTGTTTCACTGCCTTACTACCTTCATGGTGAAAAATTTCCTACTAGTATCTAACCTAAATCTCCCCTCTTTCAGTTTAAAACCATTACCCCTTGTCCTATCACTGCCCTCTCTGGTATAAAACTATGAGAGAGTAATTGATTTATTAAAATGACAAAGTACTTTTGGTTTTAAAAGATAAACTGTATTTCTCTGAATACTTAAGCAATTTCTCTAAGAGTGATTTTATTTGAAAACCTTTTTTGTAGAGTGTCAGAACACAGCAGACCAGTGTTGTAGAATAAATGCTGATACAGTGACAACAATTTAAAGGAGTGCTTGAAGTTTAATTTCTGTACAACTGTGGCACTTTGACATCTGCCCATCTCAGTAACACAAATCTTACTGATTTGCAGCTAGCAGAGATGTCAACAAATATCATTACTTAAAAATAAGTTTGTGTGGAGCTAACTTCTTTTGGAGCTTTAGGGACAGAGGCTCTTGAACTTCATTTCATATTCCTGTTTCTTAAAGATCACGTGTATTAACTAATTAGCCGTGGAATTGTGATATTTAATAATTCTTTCTAACTTTAACTTTCTTTTCTAGAGCTTCTTGTGAAGAGGAAAAGGGGCAGACCAAAAGGGTCCACTAAGAAGTTCTGTGTGGATGAAGATGTGGCAGAGAATAACCCCGTTCCAAGTGAAGAAACTCCACCTGGGACAGAAGAAGGACTGGATCTTTCTGAGGTCTCACCCAGCAGCTTGGAATGTAGGAAATGCAATCGGAAGTTCTCCAACACACGTCAGCTGAGGAAGCACATCTGCATCATTGTTTTAAATGAAGCAGAGGAAGAAGGAGATGGAGGTAAGAAAATAACCAACAAAATTAAATGAAGCATGTTGCTACAAACATAACCTTACACTTAGAAAAACCCCAAAATGGAGCTCTCCCTTAAATCACACCAAAAAAATAACCTTACCTCTCAGTGACAGCTGCATGTTGTAAACCAGGGTGTTTTTTTTTCCCCCTTTTTTATTGATGTGTATTAAAATTACTTTTAACTGTTTTTTTCTAATGCTTCTGGGACTTTGTAGTAATTTTTTAAATTACTTTCTCCTATTTTTAAACTCGTTCAAAGTTTAGCACTGTGTGGACATCTGGTTAATGATTGAGTGTGTTTTCACTTTGCACTGGGTCTGGCTGGTACAGAGTTAATTTTCTTTGTAACAGCTCTTATGATGGGGTGTTTCAGATTTGTGATCAAAATAATGCTGATAACACACTAATGTTTTAGCTATTGCTAAAATATGATAAACATATAAATATTGAAAAGCTATATAATGATATTCTGAATTATATCCTTTATTGAAGAAAACATGATATACATTTTGAGCTGAAGTTGAGGTATTAGCAATGGTTTCCAAGTATTTTGCTGTCTTTTACAGGTCCATAGGAGAGGTGTTGAAATCCTTATAATATTAGACAGTTAAAATTACAACAAATAAATCACTATAAAACTGTATTGAAACTGTAGCATGTGTTGGTCAGAGGAATAATACATGAATGTAACAGGCCTCTGGTGTTCTTGACTTCTGTGATTAGTGATCCACATGGACCTCTTAGAAATCAGTGTCTCATTGATAGTTCTCTCACTGTTTCAGAAGTCACCAAGCTTTGCTGGTTACAGACATCCTCTGTGGATCTGATTTAATACTTTGATGCATAATGATTGCCTTCACCTTAGAATCATAGAATTATCGAGTCATCAAGGTTAGAAAAACATCAAGTCCAAGCATCTACCCTACAACCCCAAACTACTAAACCATCTTATGAAACACCATGTCTACCCCTTTTTTGAACATCTTCAGGGTAGTGCCTCCACCACCTCCCTGGGCAGCCTGTTCCAAGGCCTCACCACTATGTCTGGGAAGAAGTTTTTCCTAATATCCAGCCTGAACCTCCCCTCGTGCAACTTGACCCCATTTCCTCTTGTCCTATGACTGGTCACTAGGCCAACACCCACATCACTACAATCTCCTTTTAGATGTGGAGGATGATGAGGTCTCCCCTCAGCCTTCTCTTCTCCAGGCTGAACAGCCTCAGGTCCCTCAGCCTCTCCTCGTAAGACCTGTTCTCCAGATCCCTGGTCAGCCTCGTTACTCTTCTCTGCACCCTCTCCAGCACCTCAATGTCCTTCCTATACTGAGGTACCCAAAGCCTCACACAGTGCTCGAAGTGCTGCCTCATCAAGGTAGGGGCAGGATCACCTCCCTGTCCTGCTGACCACAGTATTCCTCATACAGGCCAGGATGCTGTTGGCCTTCTTGGCCACCTGGGCACATTGTTGGCTCATAATCAGCCCCCTGTGAATCAGCACCCCGAGGTCCTTCTCAGCTGGGCAGCTCTCCAGCCACTCCTCCCCAAGCCTGTAGCTTTGCATGGGGTTGTTGTGGCCAAAGTGCAGGACCCAACATTTGGCCTTATTGAAACTCATCCTGTGAGCAGGAAGAAGAAAGTGTGCTATTTTTTTTTTTTTTTCAGAATTAAAAGAAAAAAGTCCATTGTGCTTACATATCCCACATGTACATGCTTAGTCATTTTTATTTTATTTTATTTTTTTTTATAGAGAAGGCTAATTTGTCTAAGAAATTTGCTGTGATTTAAGCAGAGCTGTATATACACCTATTTCTGCTTTTATTTGGGTAAACCAAATTGAAGGGTTTGACTTATAATTTGGATCTGGCTGCAGTTACTGCCATCCATTCTTTTTCTTCTGATACAAAGCTAGAGGAGTTGAGAATCTTCCTGAACCCTTCCTGATGCCTTCACTGTGTCTGCTCCCAGTTAGAAAATAGTGCTGCTTCTGTGAGGTTGTGGGGATGGTTTGAGGGCTTTGGCTGTTACTTGGTTTGATTAGTTCCCCAGGAGCTGCTTCTAAACTCACTTGTTTTGAGAGATAGAAAAGAGTTCATTATTTTAACCACCATCCCTCTCCCACACTGCAGAATACCTGAATCTCTGGCATATGTAGGAGAGGTCATTTGATGGCTGGGGAGTGAGATTTGAGTGGGGGACAGATTACAGCAGTGAACAGCTTGTTTTCTCTGTGAAGTGGACCATTCATTCCTTGTGAATTATGACCCTGATTTGTGATGGTTTTACCATCAGCTGGATTCTAATTTAAATGAATTCTTTCTTTGAGTAGTACATCAATTTACAGGAGAAGCAATTGCATTGTGTTCATTTTGAGTGCCCAGTTTACTTCTTTTCTATGAAATACCAGCATCTTTTAGGGGATAGAAAATAGTAATTTGAATGAAAAGCAGTTTGAAAACATGCCAATTAGGGATGTGTGGCTGTGCCTGCAAAATGTCATACATCCAATTATGAATGCAGGGAGCAGTAACATCAATTAATGACTCAAACAGAATCATGAGACAGTTGAACAATCAAGTTGGATGAGACTCCAAAGCAGGGGTTCATTCAGAGCTGACAGTAACTTTACACATCAACACAGCCAGGACTGTTTCTTAAACGTGCTAGAAGGCACAGGCATGGAGTTGTATTTCTTGCACAAACAGGCATTTAAAATGCCTGTCTCTAGATAGGGGAGCTCAGTTTATTTGTCTGGTGAGTGGAAGTGCCAGCTGACAAAGTGCTCAGCTGAGTGCTTAGCAATGGAGCTGCAAATTGTGGCAATTTCTCTAAATAAATCTCTTTAGGAGCAAGCAAAGACCCTTAAAGGCTTGGAGAAGCTTTGCTATATATATATACATATGCTATATATGCATATATTCCATTCTCTTATTAATCATCTTAGAATCACTTAGGGGTGTTCCTTTAAATGTAAACAAAAAATCGTTTTAAAGAGAATGATTGTTGTATTTTACAGGTGAATTGTCCTAGTTGTGAGAGACAAAACACTTACTGTGACACTAATCCACAGTGCTAACACTTTAAGTGATTTTTTTACAGGAAGACAACTCGATTACTGATGAGATGGTCTCATATTATGGAAAGGCAGATTGAGCCCAGTGGTGGAAGTTGAAGTTCTTGTCTTTCATTAAAACATGCTTTTGTCTCCCCTCTTAATCCTTTATTAGTGCACTCTTCCTAGGTCAGGGTATTTTGGTGTAGAGAGAGTTCAGGAAGAAAGCAACTGTCATTGAGCATTAAGATTTTTTTGTTTTGTTTTGTGATTTAAGGGGGAGTGTTGATTTTGTTGTGTTGTTTTTTTTAATTCTAAGGTTACAGGAAAATAGTTATCTTTGTAGAAAAAAATATTGGTCATGTGTGCAGCTCCAGCTCCTTATCAAGATGTTGCTTCTGGAAGATACTTGTTCCTCTTAGCAAGGGAAAACATGGAGCTACTGCCATCAACATTCATCAGATTAGTGGATACATTTTAACATTTAAGTATCAGAACTTGACTTGATCACTCTGTAGAGAGAAGACAGTGTTGTCTTTTTCGTGTATCAGGTGAATGGCGAGAATGTTCATACGAATATTCAGGACTAGTTGAATTTGCATGGCACTCGATACCTTCCTTGCATGTTTGCAGATACTGAATGTAGTCATCCTTTTAGTTGCTGGATGTTCTCAGCTTTTATTGAGAGATGGAAGTTGAGATTCAGTCCTTTGTTTGAAGTACTTCCCAGCTTTGAATTTCTTAAGAAAATATATGCACATGGCTGTAATCTTCATAGTTAGTGCCTAGCATCCATAGAATCCATAGAACTCTAGGAGTTTTCTATGCGTATGAAACTGCAACATTTAAATAATGAAATATTTTTATATAGCCGTTCTGTATGTAATTTTATTTTTTTTTTAAATAGTATTTTTTAAGTTCTGTTTTGGAGGCTGAGAGCCATAGTCAACTGCAGTTATTGCAAGATGTCTGTTCTTTCCTGCAGCTTTTACCTTTGCTCAAACGGAAAGAATTAGCAAACTGATCTGCCTGATAGAGGCATGTTAGGAAAGAAAAACAACATGAAACATTTGTTAGTAGTTAGTTATAAATTATTTGGTTCAGTAATAAGCTTAACTCTGTGGTTCATCCTTGTCTTCCTTTTTTAGTAGAATTCCAGTTTTCAAAATTAACGGGGTTGCAGTTTAACATGAACAGTACGAAAATGGAGTAAAATGGAGTTGTTGTTTGGTTTCTTCAATCCCTTTATTTCCTCATTAAACTGACTAACTATGATTTTGTAATAATTAGAAAAGAGGACTTAGGAGTAGGGTTCTTGGATTCTATTCATGTGTCTTCTCAGAATTCAGTATTTGATCCCAAACAAAATGAGGAAAATTCTGTTGTCCTAATCAGACCTTTCCTTTCAGTCTGTGCTCTGGATTTCTGTTACCTAAAGCACGCAAGAAACTAGGAGTTTTGTCAGGAGGTATATATATTTTATTTTATTTTTCCCCCTGAAAGTATCAATAACTCTTACTGCCTTCTGAACAAAAGCAGTGTAATTAACCAATTTCATTTTTGTATTTGTTTTTTAACAGTATGTGGGGTAGCCTCAGGGAAACACAATTTAATAAGCAGCTTTCATTTTTTGTGTATTCTGATTCTTTATGAGAAGACTTTCTTCTGATAGTTGCCTGCTCCTACTGTGAAAGTTGTGACAATTTGTTTTATTACTGATAATAAACTAACAGAGGCTTTTTCATAAAGAAAATGTGGAAAAACGTGTTAGTTTCCTATAAGCCTCGTTCATCCCACCAAAACAAAACACCACACAGGCAGTTTCTGGTCAAAGGTGATGTTTCTTTATATTCAAGTATCCCTCTCAAGAATTGCTGTGAATGGCAGTGTTAGAATTTCTTGGTTTCAATGTCAATCAGTAATATACAACTTAATTAGGGAGATAAATGGGGAGCCTTTCTACTTAAAAAGCAGTGATATGTTTCCAAAATAGTGGAAACCTACAGAGAAAAAGTAGTTGAGAAGAGACATATATCAGGGAGTTTATCTAATGAAATGAAAGAAGTCATTAGCAGACACTGAAAAGTAGAGGGCTCTCAAGGCACAGCATTATTTTCTATAATCTAGAATCTGGAAGCTGGGGCAAAAGCATTGCTAACGTGACTCCATAGAAAGGTAGCTGGGTAACTGTGTTTGAATTCTGTTTGCCATGTGGTTGTTGCTCATTCTAGGTATTGTAAATACAAATTTCAAATTCACAGACTGGTATCAAGTCATTCGCAGATGTCAGTAGACATGTTTGCCTCACTATGCCTGAGAAATCTAAACAAATTCCTGCATACCTTGTTTCCCCCTGGTTTTGTATCTAGTGAAGAGATGGTAGTTTAGACAGGTGGTAGTTACACCATCAATCATAACTATGATGCTTTAGTTTGTGCTTCTGTCCTGCATTTTCTTAAGGAACAGGTAGCACTCTTTGACTCTTTGGTCTATTAAGTTCAGGCCCTGGAGACAGACTTGTTTGAGTCTTAGCTGCGTATTAACGAAATATTACTGAAATTAAAACATAGCAATTTCCATGTAGCATCTCTTTCCACTGCTGTTGCTATTTACATGCCATAAACAAGTCTAGACACACGTCTCTGCTGTTCCTGTTTTTTTATTTATATATTGTTTCCATATCTCAGTAGAGAAGCTGCAGCACATCATGAATACACATTGAATACCTTATTCTGGAGACTGTGTCAGCTGCTTTATATGCAGAAGTAAAAAAAAAAACAAAATTCACTGACTTAATTTATAATTTTATTTCTTCAATCAGTTTTTGCTTTCCTTATTCATTACCTCTGGAACATTTACATAATGCCGTAATTTGCCAGGAATGTTTACTCTAGCCTGCATTTTCTACCACTTCATCTAATATGAAGAGATCGTGTTGGTATAACCTCGCAGCACACTGGTTTTATTATTTATGTTGTTAATTCTTTATATATAAGCAATTTTTATTTATTTATTTATTTTTTTAGAATTTTGATAAGGAATTCTTCATTTGCTTTAAGGAAAAAATAGCTTCAAGGAAGAATTTAGCAGATTACTGTTTATTCATTCTTATAACAGATGAGTGTTTTGAATACAACTGTTGCATTGCTATCTAGTGAACTGGTCCAAATGTTATCCAGTTTAAGAGGCTGAAGAAATTCTGAGCAGCGATTAAGATAAAGAGGATTTAAAAGTGCAGGTCTTCAAAACAACAAGTTACATGTCAGGAGTTAGGTTGAACCAAATAACTGGTTTGATCCTTAATTCATTTTGAATCTTCATTGAAAAATAAAACAATGTTTCTGGTTATTGACTCAAGAGTCACAGTGGGGGGAAAAAGTGTAATTCAGAGTGACTATTGGAGGACTTTCCATTAAATAAGATGGATAATGAATCTAGTAGTAGGAGAAATAATTCTAACATAATCAGAACAGTTATATATGGAAAAGAGAAAAATACTTGGTTCGTTAATAATGAACTTGTAGAAAATCCTACAAAATTTTTAGAATTTTTGCAGAAACCAGCAATAATTTCAAGACAGTTTAGAAACACAAATGTTTCTGAGATGTTTTGTTTTTTTAATATTGTTTTTTTTTCTCCTGTATTTTATTGTATTTTGTTTTAAAAAATATTTTAAATGTTTATTTATTTGTTTTGTGTGTTGGATTAAATATATGGGAAAAAAAGTTCCCCTTTAGGGAATCATGCTGCATACCTGGTTTTGATAATGTCTTTCTTTGTACAGTAGCATGAATTTTCTTCTAATTCTTTCTTACAGTGTTAATGACTGTGTTGCTTACATTTCTTTTATACATAGCTACATTCTTTTTGATGTTTGCTCTTTAGGTAATCATTCTGAAGTTGACCTTGACAGGAAGGAAGATGAGCGAGAAAAAACTCCAAAGAGGCCCAGAATTCAGAAAACAGAGAAACCTCCATCAACTAAGGAGACAGAACAGGTTTCAGGAGCTAAAAATCCTATTATAAGTGTGGTTTTGACAGCCCATGAAGCTATTCCAGGTAATGAGAATCACTGATTAGATAAATAAATCCATTTTGGGCAGGGGGTTGGAATTAGATGATCTTTAAGGTCCCTCCCAGGTGAAACCATTCTGTGATTCTGTGATTTTTGTTCATGCTGACACTGTATAAAATATTCATTGGTCTAAGACTGAACTGTTTAGGATACTTATTGTCTGAAAAATATCTAGTAGCATTTGATTATTTTGATACAGATTTTCTGCATCTGGCAGCTACATCAATTTAGAGCTACCATCACATTTCTTCATAGGTGTGACACGTGCTGGACCTTGGTGTAGTTACCTGCATTAACATCAATTATCTTTAGTCTGTGAATGGTTTTAAAGAAGAAACTGAAAAAATCTGTTCAAAGAAAAGGGAAGTATTTTTCCCCATAATATCTTTACTTCAGCTCTTAATTTGTGTGTATATTTATGATAAATGTGAATTTGATTAGGAAAACACAAGCAGCACAGTGTATATATGTCACTGAATTTCTTCCATACAAATAGTTTGACAGAAAATAGGTATTTAAAAACTAAGTGAAGTTCCCATGTAATGATTAAAGAATTCCTTATTCATAAATTTCTATACTGCCTTTTCATCGAATGATTTTGGAATAATTTCAAACTATTTTAAAACTAGACATGCAATTGCCTATTTATATAAACCACTCACCTGTCTGGCAGAATCCCTTCTTAATAGTTTTGTGTGTTATTTTCAGCCTCGTAGCTTTATTGTTCTCCTTTTCATTATTGCTAATGTTTCTGAATATTTGTTTGCTTAGCTCTCAGAACAATTAGAATGCATTTATTTATTATTGTAGGTTTGAAGTAAGCTGGGTTTTCTGTGTTGTACTTTAGTATCTTTTGATACTGAGATCTGTGATATGCTTGGACTTTGTTTGCTAAACTGAATTTCTAATTGTGATGGTAGAGGAAGCTGGATGAGCTCACCCACAAATATCCTGTGTGCTTTGAAGAGAAGTAAAATGCACCTTCAAATTCATTGTTTGAGAAACATGACACAGGGTTTGGGACTTACACTGAGCTGTTCAAGATTTGGTCTTGGCAATATTGTAAATATGGGGGAAGGTGGAAGAGGACCAGTGAGCACTGGAGATGTGGAAACCTGCCTTGAGCATGTTCTGAGATCTGTACTGTTCTGTTGCACTAACTGCAGGCCCCTTTCTCTTGCCTGCTGTAACACTGGGCTCTTTGCTAGCTGTTGCTAAACACCCATTTTCTCACTTTGTCTCCCACTTCTTTTGCCTCGTTCCCCCCCTGCATGTAGCTTCTCCACCATCCTGGTGGCCATTCCCCTCACTCCCACATGTGGGGCTCCCCTCATGTCCTCTTCGTCTGGGTGAAGGGGAACATGTGATGGATGGTTAAGGGGCTCACATAGGTGTTAGTGAATGGGTTTGTATAGGTGTTAATTGATGGATCTCTACACATATCCTGCCTTCCTCAGGGCTTTTGGGAAGAGCTGCAATTGGGGTCTGCTATCTCCAAGTGCTAAATTTTATGAACTTTGTAAGAATTTTTGTCTTTGAGATCTTTGCACTTCTGGCAAGGACTAGAGCAATTTTCAAGTGAGGAAGGAAAGACATGGTTGACCCTGCAATGAAAGACACTTTTTCTTAGGAAATAAGCATAAAGAGGCAAACAAAATTAAAGTAAATACAAATAGTGAAGAAAATATAGTATGCATGTGATGTGGGAGAGGAAATGAAAATCCAGAGAAGATTGTTGCCTTCATTACTACATAGTAATTTTTTTTCCTTTGGACAACAAAAAGTTTGGGATTTCTTTACACATGCTTTTTGAGTGACTCAAAACATGAAAAGAACTTCAGCTTTGGAGCTTTTTGGTCATAATGCTTCTTGCATTCAAAAAGCTTTAATGAACCAAAGGGATTTACAGTCAAATGTGAACCTACAGTTAGTTTTGAAGGTCCTCTCATTTATGTGATTGACAATTTGTAATCTTCCTATATTCAACCTGCCAGATGAATATATGTAATAAAAAAGTCATTGCTGTTAAGACAGTTCTGATTTATCATTTTACTTTTCTGGATTTGGAAATTATAGAAGACATCATATAAGTGGTTAACTCTTTGTAGATTAAAAAGGAAAAAAAAATACATTTAATACAGTTATGTCTAAATTTATTTTTAATTGCTTTTCTTTCTATTGATTTCATTAATTTCCATGGTCTAAACTATATTTTAGTATCACTGGCAATTCTTAGGCTGTTCATCTTCCTCAGTAATACTTCAATATCTGGAGTTATTCTAAAGATTTTTCATAGTGTTTCATTCAATTTTTCTGGAGATGAATCACATGCAGGAAAGGTGAATTATTGCTATAGACAGCCATTAAAGGCTATAAGTAGATAAAACATTTCTCCCCTCTCCCCTGCTTTCTGTGTACTAGATCACTGGTAAAGTTGAAATTAAAGTTTAAAAGTGCTTTAAGCACTAAGAAACGTTTCATCTTTCTGCATTAGCATTCTGTAGCCACCTGTTAGGTAGCTTTAAAGATGCATGGAGATACCCCTTTTCGTGTTCAGCACAGTAAAATCCTGCT